TCGGGTCCAGGTCAAATCAAGTCGGGTCATTTTCAGGTTGATTTGATACCAGGTACAGTTCGGGTTTAGGTCGGGTTACTTTGAGTTCGGATCGATGTCAGTTCAGGTCCGGAGCAGTTAAAAAACAGGTTAATTCAGGTTCAGATGGACTTCAGGCAGATCTAGTTCAGATCAGGTCACATCATTGGTAGATAAAATTCAGGTCGGATCTCTATCAAATACGGATTGAGTTCAAATCGGGTTAATTTTTATTTTTGGATTAATTATTTTTATCTTTCACTAACATTGAATTGCAATTTATAATTGTATATGATTTAGAGTAAATTACTAAGAATATAAATAATCATGGTTCAATTTTATGAATAATACAAATTTAAGAATTAAATTGAACGAATATGAAATTAAAAATTAAAATTTAAATAAATTAAATAACACTCATTGATGAGGGATCAAATAGAAATAATTATAAATTGTGAGGTTGAAATTAATAAAACAAAGTACTAAATTATATCCATTTAAAAAATTATGGGCCAATTAAAAATATAAATAAGTAATAAGTATGGGTCAATTTCAGATGCAAATATAATTTGGAGGACTAAATTGAACAAATATGAAATTACAAATAAAAATTTAAATAAATTAAACAACACAAAGGAATCAAATTGAAATAATTTTAAATTGTGAGATTTAAATTAATACAAAAAAGTACTAAACTATACCCATATAAAAAGTTATTGGCCAATTAAAAAATATAAATAAGTAATAAGTATGGGTCAATTTCAGATGCATATATAATTTTAAGGACTAAATTGAATAAATATGAAATTACAAATTAAAATTTAAATAAATTAAACAACACACATTGATGAGGGATCAAATTGAAATAATTTTAAATTGTGAGGTTTAAATTAATACAAAAAGTACTAAATTATATTTATTTAAAAAGTTATGGGCCAATTAAAAAATAGAAATAAGTAATAAGTATAGGTCAATTTCAGATGCAAATATAATTTTAAGAACTAAATTGAACAAATATGAAATTACAAATTAAAATTTAAATAAATTAAACAACAAACAGGGATCAAATATAATGATTACAAAATGTGAAAAAATACTGTAAAATGGACTAAATTGCATTCATTTCAAAAGTTGAGAAAAAAATTGAAACAACTATAATATATATATATAATATAAACTATATAATTTATATATAAAGTATATGTATTATATATATAAACTATATAGTTTATATTTATATTATTATATACTATATAAAAACTATATATTATATATATATATTATGTATAAACTATATATACCATGTATAAACTACAATACTATATAGTTTATATATGAACTATTGAATTATATAGAAACTAAATAGTTTATTAATATAAATTATATAGTTTATATAAAAATTATATATGAATTATATATAAACTATACAATTTATATTTGTATATTATGTATAATTATAAATAATATATATTGTATAAATTATATAGTTTATTAATATAAACTATATAGTTTATATATATATATATTATGGTTTAAGGTTTAGGGTTAATTTATGGAATTATATATAAATTATATAGTTTATAGATAGTAGTATTTAAACTATATATAAACAATATAAACTAACTTATACTATATGTAAACTATATATACTATATAGTTTACATATGAACTATATGTATAAACTATATAAACTATGTACACTATATAGTTTACGTATGACCTATATATATAGTTTATTAGTGAACTATATAAACTATTTATATAGTATACACTATATATATAAATTATAGTTTATATTTATATACTACGTACTATAGTTTATATTTATATACTATATATATTTATATACTATATTTTATACTATTTATATAAACTATAGTTTATATAGAGCTGGGTATATGGGTTAAGGCCCGCAGGCTACCCGTTTAACCCGCGACCCGTGCGGGCTTCGGGCCTCAAAAATTGAAGATCGTTTAAATTGTGGGCTTTTTAGCCCGGACCGTTAAACCCGCGGGTTTAATGGGTATAACCGCGGGCTACCCGTTAAACCCGCTAAAGCCCGCTTAATTTAAAATTTATAAAATTTTAGAGAAAATAAACTTAAAGAATTTTATAGAAAAAGAAAATAAATTACCTATAAATATGATTATATTTATAACTATTGTAGTTCTTAAATTTATTAGGGCGTTTGTCATAATTTTACCGTTGCTTGATATTTTTTTCATTTAAATATACATCATTATCATTTTGGTATTTAAAGATTTTTTTATTTAATTTTGACCTTTATTTTTTTCGTGAAGTATGTTATCCATTTTATTCTTTAATTATAAAAAGTCACGTGATATTCTAATAATATATCACATGACACGTAATATTTGGATTAAAAGTAAGAAAGAAAAGTAAAAGAAAAAATTGAAAACATACTTTTCAACTTTTAAAGACTTTTACAAAAATAAATATATTTTAACAAATTAATTACTTATATTTTATCAATTTTAGTATAATTGTATCTTTCAAATTTACTCTTATACTGTAAGTATTTTATTTTATATTTTCATATTATGTTTTAGTATTTCTCTAAAGTATCCATAAAATACAATTATTAGGAACACTTGACAACTTTCTTGTTAGATTTGTATAATGTTTAACTTTGTTGAATTTTTATGTTTGAATTTATGCTTTCAGACACTTCTGTATCTTCATATTATAGCCTTGAATAATCGTGTTTTATAAAAGTATAATGTGATTATTGTTTTATTTGTTTTTCAATTTGGTGATATAAGTGAATATTGTTTTTTTAATTTAAGTTTAAGTAATTATATCATTATATATATATATATATATATATTAATGATTAAAATATTAAAAAAATATTATTTTATAATCATTTCCGGCTATTTAAAATAAAATTTAAATATTATTTATTATTTTGACGGTGTTACATTCCTTTTCAAGTTGCTCGATCATTTTTAAAGGTGTAGTAAGTTAAAACATTATTTTTTATTGCATTCAAAGCATTTAAAATTATTTTTATTAAACGGGCCGCGGGTAAGCTCGTTTAGCCCACGGGTTAAATGGACGGGCCGCGGGCCTTAAAATTCAAAACCTTTTATGAATGCGAGCTTTTTAGCCCGCTCCGTTTAAGCCCGCGCCGTCAAAACTCGCGAGCTAAACGGGCGGGTAGCCCGTATACCCACCTCTAAGTTTATATTTATATACTATTTATATGAATTATAGTTTTCATATGAACTATATATATATAGTTTATAGAAACATTATGCAAAAACTATATAAAGTAATAAATTATATAGTTTATAAAAACCCTAAACCCTAAACAATATGCATAAATAATAGTTAATATATGCAACCTATAGTATATGTATACATGTAAAATATATATGTAGCTTATAGTACATGTATGTATGAACTATGTATAATATATATAAACTATAAATATAACCTATAGTATATGTATATATACAATCTATTTATATGTTATATAAACTATATATGTAACCTATAATTTATAAACAATAGTTTATATTAGTGTACTATATAGTTTATACTTTATAACCTATAGTATATAATTTATAAACTATAGTTTATATTAATGTACTATATAGTTTGTATTAATGTTAATTATCTTAACTATAATTTATATTAATATAATATATAGTTTATAAACTATACTATATTAATATTAATTATATTAACTATAGTTTATAAACTATACTATATAATTTATAACATATAGTTTATATTAATATTAATTTTATAGACTATATTTTATATTAATATTAATTACAAATTATAAACTATATTATATTAATATAAGTTAATATTAGTATTAATTATAATATATAATTATTTTAATATTAATTATAAATTATTTATTAATATAAATTTTATAGGGATGAAATTGAAAAAAGTAGCCACCGCCTCTTCCCGGCCAAACCCTCCCTCCTTTATTTTCGGTCTCTCTTCTTCCCCGCTCAGCATCCAAAATCTCTCACTTTTTCTCTCGTTTTCCCTCTTTCATTGTTGTTTCCGTTTGTCGAACCCTTTATGTTCTCCTTATCTCTTTGTTAATTTTGGCTATAGTTTTCCCCTTAATTCATCGATCCGTGAAGTTCTAAGACGATACTCGTTTGGTTGTGGCTCCAAGTCGTTTTTTACGAAGTTATTTTTGGGGCTTTGTTTTTTTCAGTGTTTAATTTCTTTCGAGGTTAGTTTCAGTACCCATCTGTATCTGAAAAGTTCTTTTTTTTTTCTCGTTGTATTCACAATTACTCTTTAGATTGTTTATTAGATTTTTTTTGTGCTTGACTTGCTCAAGTTTATGAATAACTGTGTGTGCAGTACTGTGTTTCGGGGCATCCTATTTTGTTGCAATAATATTGATATGTTCTAACCTCTCAGCCTGTTATTCTCAAGCTTGCTATACGTTTTAACTGAACTGTTTTTTTTAATAATTTGTAAGTAACTGGATGATTTTCTCATCTAAGATAGACGTTTAATTAGTGTAACTTGCCTGAGTCCATAGGTTGATTTCGTTAATTTCTTGAACTCGTTTCTTTGATTGGATCGGTAATCTTTTCACATGATTGATTATGATTTGTTGAAACACGGGTTCCACTTAAAGGGCGGAAATTTCAAAGCTAGTAATTTTTGTCACATTCAATGAAATATTTGATATTTTTTGCAATTGTTATGTTTATTTTTTAAGGATGTAATTTTGTTTATGTAGCTGTTATTTTTGTACAACATTTACAACCCTTAATACATGTATATGTTTGTTATGTAGATTGTCTAATTATCACTCAATATATATTTATTGCAAGGCCTAATATGAGGCCTGATAAACCTCTTTTATTTTACTTGTATATGTTCGTTATGTTTTAACTAGAAACCAAGAATCTCAAAAAACGTTTTAATGACATTATAATTTTACATGTGCAGGATCATTGATCTTTTAAGGAACCCTCAAGGTTGTTCGAGAGCATGGTTGTTGTTGGACTTCATCCTAGTTGTGATGTTCAGGCTCTTCAAAGGCAATATGTCACCAGACAGTTTGAAGGTTATGGGAAGTTGCGAAGTGCTTTAAGTTGTCAGAATAATTCTCGTGTCGAGCCTTGCCTCGAACCCCAGGTGGGTGTTCTTCATAAACAAGTATTTTCTTAAAGGCCTCTCATGTTGAGGAGGGGGATTGCAATGGATCATGTCTTTGGATATTGATTTTATTCTCTATCTCCAGGTCTTATTTGTTTATCCACCAGAAAAGCAGCTACCGATTAAATACAAAGATCTTCTTTCATTTTGCTTCCCTGGAGGTGTAGAGGTTGGCTAATTGTTCTTCTTCCATTTATTGTTTGCAGTGCATATTAGTGTGAAATGTTCATGCTAAAAAGATTAACTCATGTTTTCTTGTGAATGCTCGGTTGAGCAAGTTTGTCAATTTAATTTCTGTTTCTTTTCCCTGAAAATATATATTGCACTATAGATACAAATTTAAGTTGTTTTTTCCAGGGTTTTAAAAAACGGTCCGTGACCGTGATTTCGGCGGCGATTTAGTGGTTTCGCCGCCGTCCGAGTTACCCACGGCCGTAATAGCGTCCGCGACAGCCGTAATAGCGCCCGCGACGGCCGCAATCACGGTAAATCCGAAATAACCGAAAACGCGACCGCGACCGCGATTTGAAACCCTGGGTTTTTCTAAAATCTGTCTGTGCTATATCAGGTTCATGCCGTTGAGAGAACTCCTTCAATGAGTGAGCTGAATGAAATTCTTCTTTCACAGGTATTTTTGCTAAAATGTGACGTTAATATATATTACGTTCTCTTGTCCTAATTTGGAGTACATGAAGATTTCTACATCGAGTAGGGCTGTCAATAGGATCACAGGGTATATTTTCTATTCTTTCCCCTTATCATTGTAATTTATCATTAGATCTTTAAAATAGTATGTCTAGTTGTTCAATTAATAAACTTTGTTACTACTGTTGTTATTGTTTGATTGTTGGTGCTCGGAAATGGTTTAGATATGTAGCTCATTGATTGAAACTGACCGGCATTTTGACCGCTAAAGTAATTGGAAGGTTTGAGTGACTGAAAGGTTGAAGTTAAGGTGAAATGCATAGACATATCTAGTTGATCGGTCCTGGTTAACTTTTTCCTTACCTTTAATTTGAGATGTTATTGTAAAGATGAAAATTTTGTAAAGTTGTGTATACCCTCTTTTGGATTTATTGGTCTAGAACTCCATGTTGTCATAAAAGCGCAAAGTATTTTATTTCCTGTTGTATAAATGGCAGAGTAAGTGTTTCTGATTTACTTTGATTAATGTTTTATTTATAGAGATGAATTGGGTGGAATTCTCAGGTGGAATTCAATTTGCCACGGCTCAACTACCTCTTCTTGAACTTATGGATTGTGGGATGTCAATATGCGCTCCTGATTCTCAGAATCCACCTTCTGATCAAAATTCTGACAGTGAAGTTCCAAATGTATTGAATAATAAACTGCACCTTATGTACCAGAAGCTTATCATCAAACACAGCCGACTAAAGAAACTCAACTTGTGGGGTCGTTCTGGCTTAGATGTGAGCTCTTTTAGTCCTTAATCTCGAGTATGTTTCTAGTTGCTTCTTAATATCCTATGTGGTTCTTATTTGTTGAATCTCAATGCAGGCTTTATGTTTGATTGTAAGGGTTTGGTAAAGTCAGAAATGTTTGGCACTGTTGGCCATCGAATTCCCTTTGACTTTACCACTGATTGTATGCTTTCTTAATGCAGGAAACTTGCTGAATTGATGCAATGATGCTTGTTGAATTGGTACATTGATGCTTGTCGGTTGCTGTTGTCTATTACTCACTGATGCCTTGTAAATTATTGTTGTTGGTCTAACTTAAATCAATTTTTGAACCTTATAAATTCTTATTTAAATAGTTACTCATGTGGAATTATGTTGGTGGCTTTTTGGCTTTTAATGCTAGAAAGTTGCCCACAATTAAACATGTTGGCAGCATTTAGTTATAAAGGCTCGATGATGATATTTCTGGTAGTATAGTTAGGCTTTTAGCATTGTAAAACCTTAGCTATAAGATCTGAGAGCATTTATTCCAACATAAATTTATTTTGTTTAATTGATTTTATTTTAATTTTAGTGTTTTCAAGTGTAATAAAATTAATTTCATTTATAAATTTTTTGTTTTAGTATTTGTAATGTTATTCAAGTTTTAAATCTTTAATAAGTTTATCATTTCAACTAATATATTTTTATTTTAAAATTTCAAGTTAAGTTATACTTAAATTATTAATCAATTTTCATATTAAAAGTAAATTAAATTTATGAATATTTTAACTCAATTTATATAATTTAATAAAATTGTGTTCAATAAGACAATATTTAAATTTAATTTAGTGATTATAGATAAAATAATAATATAAGAATTATAAATAATATAAAGAATTGGAATTAATATAAAAAATCAAATTTATAATATACAAATTATAATTAATATAAAAACTAAATTTTAAAAAGTAATCATATTAATTTAATTATCATAAGTTTATTATAAATTTAAAATAACATAATTATATTAATTGTAACTTATTACTTATAAGTCAGGACAATATCATATCACTTTAACAATATATCGGATCATTTACAGGTTGAGTCAATTACAGATCAGCTTTATAATAGGTTTATAACAGGTTGAAAAAAGGTCGGGTAATACCAGTTATTTACCAGGTCAATCTCGGGTTCGTGTTCATATCAGTCGGATGCAGTTCGGGTTTGGGTATCATATTTTCAGTTCAATTCGGGTTTAGGTCGTTCTTAGGTCAGGTGCAGGTCAGGTTCAGATCCACAATTTCCAGGTCTAACTTGGGTTTAGGTCAACACTAGTTCCGACTCGAGTCGGTTTCAGATCACCACAGCGCAAGTCAAAAACAGTTTGACTCGAGTTGGTTTCAGTCAGTTTTACAGACCGAGTCAACTTTTTACACCTCTAACTTTAATGATGGGGCTGCAAAAAAACATAAGGGCCAAGTCCGACATTGGAGACTTTATTTTGTATAGCACAATAGAATTAAGAGTACGTTTGTTTCATGTAAAACATTTTTCGAAAAACGTTTTATTCATTGTCCAGTGTTTGGCTGAAGGAAAATTGGTTGGTCAACGTAAAACATTTTCCTGGTCAACAATATTTTCTTTCTTTTTCTGGAAAATGACTTACGGTCTGATTTTCTGTAAGTAAATTTTTGAACTTTTCACTTCAAATAATAAATACTCAAAATAATTTTATTTTATGAATTTAATATTAATAAAATATTTTAATATCATTTTAATCAAAATATTAATTAGTAAAGAATTTAAAATATATTTATTAATATTTCTGATAATATACTATTATATTTTTAATATTATATATAATCAATTATATATAATAATATAGATATTATATTTTTATTTTAATAATATAATAAATTATTAATAAAATTATATTATTTATTAATTTCATAAAATAATATTATTAAATTATTAATAATGAATAATATTATATATATATATTAATTAATATAATAATTTTAATAAATATATTTAAAATATAATTAATATTTTTAAAATATAATATAACAATATTACTTTAATAAATAATTAATATAATTTATAATATTTTTATTGCAATAAAATATACCAATATTAATACTTTTATTAATAAAATTATAAAAACAATATTTTAATAATAAATAAATTATTTTAATATTTTAAAAATAATAATATTAAGTTTTATGATAAATAACTTTATTTATTGTATTTAATATTTGTAATAAATATTTTTTTTTAAAAATTTATCAACTAGTGAAAAAATGGTTTAAACAATATATTCTAAACATCGTAAAACGTTTTTCAAAAAATGTAATTTATTTTAAAAAAAATATTTTTCGAAAAACATTTTCAATGAAACAAACGGATCCTAAATGGTTGAGCATGAAGATGGCCCTTTGGTTCATGAGAAGATATTGGTTCCTTTTGAGCAATTTTGGGTTGTAGGTGGAAACTCAACAACTGCACAGTGATCAGCCGAGGAGAGCAGAATTGGAAACCTTGTGCTCTCTGTTACACTAAGTTCGTGACATGGATGGATCTGATTAGTTTCCTGGCTGAAAATTTTTGCTGCACGGTTTTAGGGAAGGCAATTGCGGTAACAAACTATGGATCGATATCGATCACTGTGGGTTCATTTGTATTAAATTATGAATAGTCAGCTTTAAAAGCGTATAAGTTTGATTATATTTTTAGTTTTGGTATTTTTTGCAAAATGTTAGCTCCATAAGAGTTAATGCACGATTCCCTGTCTGTCAATGAGTTGTCAAGTTGTTTTCTTCTCTAGTTGGTTATCCATTATCGAATTCATTGCAAAAGAAGAAAAGGCAAAGTCGTGAGCTCCAAATTTGTGGAAAAAATGAAGCAAGTTTTGGTGAAGGCACTAGCAAGCATCTGGTCCTACAATTAAACATATATCTTTGCAGATGTTGTAAGTCTACAAATAGTTGTTATGCCAAGCTGCCTTGTCTTAACTCAGAAACTCTCCTCTTTCTATAACTCAGATTCAGCCTTGGGTTGGGAACTGGTACTTTGGGTTGGGAACTTGTACTTTTGTTTTGTATGGTTCATCATCACTTTTAAATATTCCTTCCCATACTCCCAGGTTTTGCCTTTTTTATCAGGTCATTTTCTGTCAGCTCAATGGCTATGGTTACATTTACATCAAACCTGTCACGAACATCAGACTTCTTGAAAAACAATGGCGAAGATGGAGAAATTGGAGTGTTCGGAGCTGAAAAATACTTTCAATGGAGCAATAGATGTTGATGCTGGTGGTCCAATAACAACCAAAAAAGATTCAAACAAGTTGGAATGCACGAAACATCAAGTGATGAAGCCATTGGCACATCAGGCAGCTCCAAGTATGCGTTCAGAATCAAGCTGGAATAGCCAAAATCCATTACTTGATAACACTGTTATCCAAAAACCTCGGCCAAAACCCAGTAAGCCTGTAAATGCAAAGTCTTTCTTTACTTCTCTTGCCGCCTGTAACTGCAACTGCTTCGATAGAAACTCCATTGATATCGAAGTGGGTGAAATCAGTTTCAAAAGACCCAACGGTGAGTTATTACTTCAAGGAAAGCAAAATAAGACAACAGCCGCTATAAAGGAAGACCTTTTCACATTCCGCACCATGGATTCAACCGTGGCTGTTCGGCCTATAAAGGAAGACCTTTTCACATGTCGATGAAATCGGAAGGAAATCGTTGGAGGTATTCGGCTTTCCCGTAATCGGGATTGGGAGGCGAAACAAGTCCTTTAATCTCGAGAGGAGGCGTAAAATGTTATCATGGGATCATGCAATTCCCAAGGTAGGAGAAACTGAGAATAACAATAATTCTAAAGGTAATTGTAATGATAAGGAAAGTGATGCGAGTTCGGATTTGTTCAAGATCGAAAGCTTAACAGGGAAACCGAATCGTTGTTACGTACCGGGCGGGGCCAGTATAGAGTGGAGTGTGGTCACTGCAAGTGCGGCTGACTACGATGAACGAAGGCCGCCCACAAGTTTATCGAGTCCGATAAAAACATTTCCAACCGCCACCGACTTAAAGACGAAAATCAACGTCCAGAGGCCACGTTCTAGTGGTCTATTGGGGTGTAATAGCTCGAAAGCAGTAAAGATAGATGGTGATGCGCATAAAACGAATCAGAAGGCAGGTTTAGACCCAAGAATGAGGCATGAGTCGGACTCGTACATGCCCGTGACGAGACTTGGAGCCGACAGTAAACTCGTTGATGCGGGTGTTTTTGAACGTAGGCTGATACTCGCCACACGCTCCCTTCCCGTTCCTCCTTCACATTCACCACCAGAAGCGTCTTCTCTGTTGTATATTCAGTAGGTTGGAATTACGTACTAGGAGCTAGAGTTTATCTTAGTTTATGTAAAATTTTGTTCTACTTGTCACGAGACAAAGATTACTAGTTTTATATTTCATAAATGATCTCTGAGTTAAATTTGGGAATTAAAC